CAAAGTCTCCAGTGAAAAGAATGTCTGGCTCTTTTGTACAGAATTTATTCTAACGTGGTTTATGAAGCTGAATTATAGAATTATTTCTTTATCTTTGGCTTGTCTTTTTGCTTATTTCACACTCAGTGACCTTGCTTCAGGCAATTTTCAGTATTTGCTACTTTATCTTATGCCTTTTCTTTGTCTCTGTATATCCAGCTGTGTGTATTAGCATGTTTTTAAATCATTATTATCTTAGATTCAGAGATTTCTACCAACCATCCTTCCAGAATTCCTACAATTTTTTAATGCTTCTCGCCAGCAGCCAAGGTAAGAAGGTACAGTAACTGCAACAGGAGGGAAGACCATGTAGAGCATTTAAACTAGTGCCCTTTGTTTCCAGAGAAACCAAGTTACTGGTAAATATGAGCTGTGGAGGGACAAAAATACATACAGTAATTCCTTAGGTACAGACTTCATGTTTAATCCTTTGCAATGAAGTTACAGGTTTTGGTTTGGTTTGGTTTGGATTGGTTTTGATCAGCAAATTAATCAAGTCTTAATATAGCTATTTTTGGCCATTAAGAAAGAATTGGTTTAATGTAACTTTTTAGTTATGTAACACTGAGACCATTGGCTAAAGAAAGGGTTCAAGAAATGCCACATTTGAATTATATTAAGAATCCTTTCCATATGGTGGTATTTTTAGCCATTTCATGTCACTATTTACTACTCCTAATAAAATATGAAACTTCACTTAATGTCAAAGTATTTAAATAATTTTGCTGTGATAACCCTTCTTGGCTTATAAGAAAATTTATTCCCCCCTAAACTAGTTACTTGATATTGAGTTACATGGGATGCCCTTATCTCATTTTTTTTTTTTACTATGAGAAATATACTGAAAAATGAAGATATAAGCTCTGTGGGTTTACAATACATGCACACTATTTTACAAACAATAATACATCAAATTTGATTCCAAATTTGAAATTTGGCTCCAAAATGAAAAAAAGATTTTACTAAGAAAAGGTATGTGGTTGGTCTGCTAGTAAATGACTAGCTAAACTAAAGGGTAAGTAGACAGGATATTTATAAAATCTAAAATGGTTCAATTCATGTTAGTTTAATGATAATACATAAAATGACTTTAAGTAAAAGAATATTTTTTCACATTGTGATGCAGCGAAGAAAATTGCTCTGATAATGTCAACTTCATTTATTGCTGATGAAATATAATATTATATGACTATGGGAAAGTAGTTTTTAAAGTATGGTCATAAAACTTTTCATACTCTTTAAGCCAGTAATTCCATTTGGAGAATACTTTTTTTTTTAAGTTTATTTTTGAGAGAGAGAGAAAGAGAGAGCATGAGTAGGGGAGAAACTGAGGGAGGGAGACACAGAATCTGAAGCACACTCCAGGCTCCGAGCTATCAGTACAGAGCCCAAAGCTGGGCTCAAGCCCACAATCTGTGAGATCATGACCAGAGCTGAAGTCAGATACTTAAACGACTGAGCCGCCCAGGAACCCTGGGGAATAATCTTTGAGAAAAAACCTCCCTGTCACAAAATAAAATATACAAAAACCTACAAAGACCATTGACAAAATGGTTAATGCGTCATGATTTATAATAGAACATAAGAAAAAGAAATAGAATCATGAATAGCTGAGGGCAATGAATATATGTAGAACATTAACCTAATGGGCTATTATGCACCCTTTTTACATTTTAATTGCTAAAGCAATATACCTATATGCAAAATGTTTAGGAAAAATGCTATTCTATTAATTTCAAGTATCTATATTCTATTAGGCCCCGTTAGGCAGGAGAAAGACCTATGGGGTGTTTGCTCTTTCTTTTGTTAATAATACATTCACATAAGTCTTTACTTTTTAAAACTAATATATATGTCCACGCCTCATCCTGAGAGATAATTTCAAAAGGTTTAGAGCTGAGCACAAACATGTATATTTTTATTTTATTTTTTTATGTTTATTTTTTATTTTATTTTTGAGAGAGAGAGACAGAAACAGAGACAGAGCGTGGGCAGGGGATGGGCAGAGACGGGGAGACACAGTCTGAAACAGGCTCCAGCTCTGAGCTGTCAGCCCAGAGCCCAACGCAGAACTTGAACTTGTGAACCATGAGATCATGACCTGAGTCAAAGTCCCCACTTAACTGACTGAGCCACCCCAGGCACCCCACAGACGTGTATGTTTTTAAAGGGTACCAACAATTTTTCTGATGCATAAACAGAAAAGGACCAATGCACTAGATGGGAGTTCTTGGATGGCGGGGACGATGTGATCATTGTGCAGCCCTGTGGTGCTTCCCAGAGCACGCACGGAAGGGAACACAGTGTCTGAGTAGGAATGAACTGAGGCTAGAAGGGCAAAAGGCCAAACTGAAGCATAACTGAAATGATAGGTGAAATACACACACACACACATATATGCTCACAGCATGTTAATATTACAAAATGAGAATAACAAAAGGAAAAAAAAGACAAATGAACAAAATAAAACTATTTGGTTCATGGAGTAGAACATTATGGAATTATATTTACCTTTCTTTATTTCTGTAGTAATTATTTTATATACTGTAAAAAAAAGAGCTATTTTTAAGAAGAAAGAATCTGCTGGTGGATAATCAACTAATATGTTTATTTCCTGAAATGAAACAGTAGAATTATCAATAATCTGTGTGTGGTGTACATGATTGGCATTGAGAAGATGAATTAGAACTGAGTTTTGCTGTGTAAGAGGACCAAATAAAAAAAATGAAGGTGAACTAATGTACTCTTACCATATTACCCAGCAATTGTGCTCTTGGCATTCAGCCAATGAGTCACAAACTTGTATCTACACAGAAACCTCACAGAGATGTTTATAGCGGCTTTATTCATGAGTGTCAAAATTTGGAGGCAACCAAGATGTTTTTCAATAAGTGACTGCATAAACTGGGATACATTAAAAAAACTGGACTATTATTCAGCACTTAAAAGAAATGAGCTATCAGACCATGAAAAGGCAAAAAGAAATTTTAAGTGCATATTCCTAGGTGAAATAAGTCAATCTGATAAGACTACATACGTTTGATCCCAAGTATATGACATTCTGGAAAAAACAAAACTATAGAGACAGTGAAAAGATTCAGGGACTACCAGAAAGGGATTAGGGTTAAGGGAAAAGAAGGGATGGGCATAGAGAATTTTTAGGGCAGTGAAATTATTCTGTATGATATTACAATTGTGGATACATGTCATTACACACTTAACACAATCCATAGAAAGTACAACACCAAGAGTGAACCCTTATGTAAACTATGGACTTTGGGTGATAATGATATGTCCTTGTAGGTCCATAGATTGTGACAAATACATGACCATGGTGTGGGACACACAGTAGGGAAGGTTGTGTATGTGCTGGAGTGGGGGTAAATGGGAACTCTCTCTACTTTCTGTTCCATTTTGTATGGACCTAAAATTACTCTAAAAAACAGTCTGTTTTAAAAAAATTAGCATTAGGTTATGTGGGATTCTAATTGGAAGTCCCCAAAGTCTTTGAAGATCTTGCTGTTCAAAATGCATATTCAGTGGTGCATCACTTTGCCATGACAATATGATAAAGAAAAAAAGTCAAGTAATACTAATTTAATATGATTATTTAATTTTTAGACAATAATGAAAAATATCATATCTTTGAAATAGAGTTAGTTTAGGGGAGAACAGGAAACTATTAAATTTAGTATCAATATTAATGATACAGAACCCATGTTAGAGAAAATTAATCTATAGTTTAATAATGTTCAAGAATTTAAACAATTAGTTGAATTTTGGCAGGGGAAATTGGAAGAGAGACAATTTTTGTCAGTAAGGAAAAATTTTAAGCTGCATATTTTAATCATCATAAAGTGCTAGGGATTTCAATATTTTAATAGATTCATTTAGCTCTAAATGTCTTCAAGCACGTTATAAATCCTCCAGAGTCCCTGCTTTGCAATATAGCCTTTTAACATATTCATTGTCTCTTTCCAAGATAAGTTCACTATTGCTATTCCATTAGTCTGTTTTATGATTTATTTCAAAGATAAAATGAATATCTTCATTCATGACTATTTAATCTTGATTTTTTAAACCAAAATTTGATGGTAATTATCATCTATTAAAATGCATTCTTTCCCCCTTCTTGAGCATTTTTCCTCTTTATAGTAAATCCTACATTCTGACATCATCATTAAAATCATTTTATCAGTAATTACATCTAGACATATTCCTTTTATGAACTCAATTTCTTAATAGACCCTTAATCAACACTGAGCATTTTCAGATGAAGGAAAGATTCTACTCGTGCATAATAGGAAAGTGTTGGATTTGCCAACCTCAATTCTTTTTCATTTAACCCTCCCTTCAACCTAATAATTCCATAGCTTTTATAGGGTAAACTTACACATAACCCCACTGTATAAGGGAATGTTAGCTATATGTGGCGTGCTGTCAAAACAGAAGTCCATTACCCAAAAGTGAGACAGAAGCCATCTTTGGAAGATAAGGCATTTACAAGAGGCTCAGTAAATAATAAAACTGTGAGAAACTATGGCAGAGAAGATTATCTGTGGCAAAATAAACAGTAAACTGTTCTCCCTCTTGGATCCTTAACCTTTACTATCATTAAAATGAAAACAAAACCTATTTACCTCCAGAACCACTGCAATGATTAAGGTAGAATGTAGAAGTGAAAATTCAGTAGGAGTCATAAAATGCCATATAAATATTGGATAGTATCACAGTTAATAATAATTCCATCTCAGAAGTATAAGAAGCTTAGGCAGGCAGAGCACTTAGAAGAAGAAAACACTGGCTACATGCCCAAGACCTGAGTGAAAGTGAGAGCTCTGTATGTTTGTGAACCCCTGCATCCCAAATTCTTTGTATCCTGTGTGAGCATCTGCTTGGTACCATGAAGAATAAAAATAGTAAAGCCTGTTGAAAATGCCAAAACAAAGAGAAGAGCCAAGAAAAGAATATGAATAATTTAATCAGATAGGATTCAAGTTTATCCCCAGCTTATTTGCCTTTTATTCTTCATTTCAGTTCATTACATATCCATCAGTTATCACCAAGGCTGTGCATGCACCTTGAAATGTTCACAAAACGTCCACAATACAGGGGTTGATAATTAGGTTATATATTATATTCAGAATCCCAGGGGAGCTAATCGATTCCAGAAATACTGATTAAGCAAGAGGAGGAATTCTTACAGTTTAAACTACAACAATTTTAAACAAATACGAGTACAAGCTTCGGTTGCCACAAAACTCACAAAAAAGTAATTGATTGAAGAATATCTCTTTTATGCAAAATATACATTTTAAGATATAATTTGATTAATACTCTACTATATACTGACATTACTCCTTGATCATTTAATAAAAAAATACTCTCGTTGCCAGAATTTTATTTTCTGTTATATTTATAATTGAGGTAACAATGACAAAACACTTAAACCATGAATAACGTTGGTGAGTTTTTTTTTAAAGTCATAATGATTCTCCAGAGGTAAACAAATATGTGATTAAAAACAAGTCAGTTTTGATAAATAGGCACTGAAAATTTCACAACAAAGACAAGCAGATAACATAAGCGGTTTATAAAAAAATGATACAGTCAATGTTCATGGATTCAAACAACAAAGGAATTAAGAAGAAATAAAGGAAATTAAGACACATCTATACTACACCAATATCACTGCCTTGTATGATTCACAGCAGGATCTACTGCAGACCCAAGAGGGGCAATTCACAGAAGTATGGGCCTTACTTGAAGCTTCAGAGATGTTGATCATGAATTTGGCTTCCTTGGATGGGAGATGGCTGAAGCTGTTGACCCATGCACACATGTTGGTATTTACAATTGTCTCATGGATACCGACCAGTCCACAAGCAGACCACTCATATGGGGAGCACCAAATGAGTTCCAGCCAGTTCTTTTCCAAGCTTTAGATGCCTCATGAAGACGTAGGGACCTCTTCCGAGTGCGACCTGGTCACATCAGGGCACATTGAGCAGCAGAAGTCTGTTTCCAGTACAGTCCTTGGCATGGCTAAATTCCACTGTCCCTTTTTCAGCAGTCAAAAATCCATGATAAATTCTGTACAACACTGCAGTCAATAACAGCAGCACCAGACAGTATATTAATTCCTTTACCGTAGAGCTATATGGAATTATAACTTTCTAAAGGTGACGTTATTAAAAGGATCACTGAATCTCCTAATATCACATGTGTACGTCTGGATAAATACATTGCCGTACAAAATCTCAGACATGCAGTTCATGCTTTAGGACTTAGAGATAAAGAGTAATAGATGTTATGTGGCCAATAATAAAAATGACATTTGTCTTCCTAACAAAAAATGAACATGAGAATTAAGCATTAATCAACAGTCCCAAGGATCCTGAAGGCCTTAGAAATAATAATGTTTATCCCTCAATTTATAGTATGGCATTTTTCTTCCCTCATATGCCTAATACACCAGACACACTATTGCTATTGCATTCATAGGGATGCTGTAAACAGAATTTCTTCCACTTGGGCTGAATAAAACTCCCTAGGGGTTTTGCTGGAGCGTAGTGATGAATGCTGGTTGCTAGATAGTAGAAACTGACACTGCAGCGAGCAACCAAATGTAATGGTAATACTGCTGCTCAAATCCTGCTTATCAAAAAGGTTCACAGTACTGATTAACTTAGGTAGTCTACAGGGTGCCATCCATGTATACACATAGCAGAGCGGCTGTTCCAAATAGCAGAGAAAGCAGGGGGTAGGGGAGAAGAACCAGTACTAAAATCATGAATATCATATCAAGGCATTTCTGTGCTTCATGAAGACAGATGGCATATACATTAAAGACAGGGAGCTAAGACAGACAGACAAAACGCCATACAGGACAAAGCACCTGATTCAACACTGCCTGGAAATCTGATTAATCCCGTGAGTCAGGAATTTAAGGCTGGTCAAAAAAAGCCTCGAGTGAAAACAATAATCTTTGATGTTTGCACAAAAGTCAATAAATTAAAATAAAGGAAGGGGATAAAAAAAAAAGACACGAGAGCTTTGGGTCATATTTGGCACTTCGCCTCTGAAAATCATGACAAATCCTGGGACTGGAAAAATATATATATATATGACTCTAATACCAAGCAGCAATTTCTGGCTAAACAATGCAAGCCTGACTGGCAGTTACCTTTCTCTCATGTTTTGTGCCTTCCCCAAGTCATTAAGTAAGAGCTCTGGCCTCAGCTTGCGTGTAACCAGTAATGACAACCTCTTTGCAGTTATCTGTGTGCAAACAACCAGAGACATTCAGAACTCCAATACAGCATTTTTGAAAAAAAGTAAATCAACCAAGAAATTAATGTTTAAAACAAATATTTCTTTCAAAGAATAAGGTAAAAAAAATGTCAAGGAGAAACTCGCCCTCCCTGCCCCACAATTCAACATGCAGAACAGTTGACCAGTGCTTTCATATCAGCAGGATGGTTCGATGCAAGTACACATATCCTGAGCCATCCACGGTCCCCGAACTCTGCGACATTGCTTTCAGGTGATAGAGACAAGATGGTCCATGCAAATGAGCTGACCAAAGTCATGTGGTATGCAATCAAGATAGGATCCCAAACATCTTCAAAATGGTTTAGAGTCACGAGAAATGAAGGTCCAGTGAAGTGACTGGCATTTGGAAGCACACTGTTTTAATTATATCTCCCTGAAGATATGTTTATGTATTAGCATACTGGCCAATATCTGACACTACCTGTCATTTTATTGCGAAAGGAGACCAGGGCAATTAATATGGAGAAGTAGCACTACTTTAGATAATCTTTAAAGCCAGGATAAGATTTGTTAGCTACCCAAGTGGCATTTCTGACTTCAAATAGTAGTATCATGCAGGATTGAAACTGTATTTAATGGAGCCTGGAGTAACTCTACATTTACTTATTTCCATTTTGGGGAAAAAGTACTTGAATTCATACAATTTAGCCGACTGATGCAGTTTGGTTTACAAAATAGATGGGATGGGAGACCGAGGGCGCCTCAGAGGACAAGGAGAGTTGTAGGGTGATGCTACTGGAGACAGCCTCAGAGCATTGCCTGCCAAGCCCGCTATGTTGTTTAAGCTTCGGGACTTTTCATATCCTTTTATGAAAAAATGTACAGACATCAGTTGAATTCAACCAGAAAATAGACACAGACAAACAATACCAAGCAGGATAATCAAAAGTGCTATTTTGAGTTCAAGGAAAAAAATTTTTTTACAAAGAATTAAATATTGAGACCATTTATGATTTAAAAAACTAAAGCTCATTACAGCTGTCATTCCCAAGAGATTAAATCACAACTTATAGATGTAATACTTCAAAATTTATTCTTTCCCAGACTATAGCTTGTATTGATATAATTCTGGTATATAAAATACTAGGAATCTTTTAAGAATCAGGCAAAGCAACTTAAGTAAGATATAAACTTGGCTAATATTTTTAAATTTCAGGATGTGTTTCTAAAAAAAACCAAATGGGCTATTTTTTCTTTTCATTTTTATTGTTTACTAGGCTAATAAGCATGATCAACTTTACACTTGATCTTAGCCAAAAGGCGAGAAGCGATTGCATGATCAACTTTAAATGGACAACTCTTTTTTCAGCATATTTAATTTTCCAGCTTTATAGTGTAAAAAGATGTTTCTTAAATAATGGCATTTGATGCCATTATCTAAGTGATGTAGAATGAATGCCCATTTCTAATTCTTTGGATAAAAAAGAGTAAAGAAAAAAAGGAAGGAAATGAAATATAAATTGAGTCATAATTTCAGTGACTTACAGTCTGTACGTTATTATACGATGTTTTCAGTTAGCTCTCCACTGCCAGGAATTGAGAACCATTTGATTGTAATTCACTTTTTCTTTCTATTATCTTGCATTCTAATCATCTGTATGTGATTGTCATAGACTTGCAGAATAAAAGATCCTCCTCACAAGCTTCACCCCAGGGGTTTCCTTAGCCACTCAAGCAACATCCCCATCAAAGTCACCTTTGGGAGGATTCATATTTTGTAGCGTTATTTATTAGAAAAAGAGTAGAGGTAGTTCAGTGGGGGATGGTTAGTGCTATGTAAAGTTAGAAGTGAACTGTCTTAAAAGCAGGACAACTACTGATTGAAAAAGTAGTCGAGAAATAAATGTAGGAAGTCAGGCAAAAGAAAAAATAGTCAGGAAATAAATATTCTGACAGGTCCACTGAAAAAAAAAGTGTTGTCGAACAGGAAAATAAAATTCTCTCAGTCAAAGCTGAGCAAGTGGATACAACTTCACTAAACTTCATGTATTCCTTAGACTCGGGACATATTCCTTGGGCTCTGATTAGCCCTCAGTGTGCACGATTAAAGAAAATGTGCCTTTTGTGTTTCTCCGTGTTCCTCTCAGGTACTTATTTTTTTAATTCTATATTTTCATGGAACTTCTGGGGAAGAAGCTAATACTATCTCTCCTCCTTTCACTAGGAAAGAAGATACGTTTTCAGCGAGTTAGTGATTATTTGATTTTTCAGCAGCCAGTACAAGAACGGACACAGACTGTAATAACTGCTCTACTGTGGGTGAAGCTAGGCTGAACAGAAACATCCCTCCCCATGCACATAGGTAGAAACTATCAGTGGGCTAGAGGTCTTCTAGGAGATTTTGTATATGGGAATTTATGCCATCCATTAACTATGGTAGAGTTCTTAGGACATCTTTTCTGCTAATGAGAGGATTATCTGCCAATTAAGTTCTGTTAGTATTTAGAGATATAAAACACCGGAGGAAATATACATTTCATTCTATTCTAGTGGATGATGGAATACTTAATAAGAAGATGTCTTAAATAATTAAAAAAGAATTGCAGATAATTTGTCCCTACAAAGGGACCTCCATGTGCTTGAAGAGCTAGTAATGGGACTGCTCTTCCATAAAGAGATTGGAAGTATAACTTTGGGCATTATAGGAAGAATAATTTATCCTAGCTGACCGTGTAATCTCCCTATAGGACCTCCAAGAAGGTAAAAATTTACTTGACAGTTTTATATATGTAAATCTTGGTTGCCATTCTTAATGTTTAATTATTATTCTGAATTACAGTTTTTAACAAAAATATTATCTGTTCTGTTTATAAGTCCCTTGACTTTCACTAACTATAATTTCAGTATTAATTTGAAAAGACTTCCCTTCTAATTTAATCACAAATATTTAGTAAAATTATTCGTTACTTATTGAATATATATATTTTTACTCTGTAGGTTCATTTCTGATACAAAATTTGAAAAGGTTTTGCTTAAGCAAGCTTTTTTATTGAGTGGCATGGTTAAAAATATAGTTCATGAAAATAAGCAATATTGAACCTACTTGGAATTGGCATCTAAATACAAAATGTGCCTATTATATGGTTCTCAAGAGCATGTGCTCACTTGGTAAAATATTGAAACTGCCTAACCATGTACTAACAATGGGTATGATTTTGTGTATATAATATGATTTCCCAAAAACTACTACGTAAAAAAAAACATAGGTTATAAGTATTGGGAGTTCACTCTTACAGGGAATCCATAAGTTTTCTTAATGTATGCCCAAGTATATTCATATTTGTTGGTTGAAACACAATTCAGTGGGAATCTTGTAATTTCTTTTCATCTATACAGGGGAGAATTTTCAGCACTCTAAAATCAAATCAGTTGAGAGACCAACTTGAAACATAAAAAAGGGATCATATAGGAAATAAATGCTTGAATAAGAGTATTAGGAGAAATCTATGATCTACATAAAAAGAAACAAGAGAAGAAATGAGTAGATTCCTGATAAACATGACAAGACAGCACACCAAGAAAATTTAGTGAAGTTAGCTGAAATAGTTACAAGGCCTGGGAGAAAAAAAACTGCAAAAGTGTAAAAAAACTAAGCAAGAATGAAAAAAGAGGTTGAATATGGTGAGAAATGACAAAGAATAAAAGCCCATAGATGAATTTTCAAAGATGTGTTCATTGTTAAAGATAATTTTGTGTTTGTAAAATAGAATTTCATGTACAACTTTTCCATACAAACTAAATATCTTATTAATTGCTTTGCTCATGAAACTTTGCATTTTAAAGAAAAATTCTATGTTTGCATAGTGCTTTATAATTTGCAAAGTATTTTTTCATATGTGATCTCCTTTCACAGTTTAAAATTCAAATATTGCCTGACAGTGGAAGGAAAAAAAGTTAACTAAGTTCTTAACCATGTAACTTTAATATAAATACTACATGTGATACTTTATCACATGATGTCCAAAATGTATATAAATGTAACCCCACATTACATATAAATACACATATACATATATATACATATATATACACATATATAGTGGGTTAGGATATGTAATGTACTTAAAATATAATTTATAGCAATAAATTATTAGTCATATTATTATCATTAGCTAATGTATATACATACATTTTGCTTAAGTACTATGATATTAACTATCTTCATAAAATATTTAAAAAATTGTTCTAGCAGTTAATATTTAAATGTAAAATAGCAAACAATCAAACATATTCAGATAATTGAAATACATTTTGGTGCAAAGAATAGATGCAGAGGAATGGAAGTAACTGAAATGAAGAAGTATTTATAATATTACATACTGAAGAAATAAAAGAAGATTTTGTCTTCTCTTTTGAGATCAAAGGCATGGAGGTAGGACAATACAAAGTGTTCAGAAGCAATGAAAGAGGAGTACCATATGGGTAATGAGACATTTCGAAGAGATCACAAAATATTTAAGGCTTAAAATGTTAAAGTATTCAATTGGAAGAAACTGCAATGAATAGCAAAAAGTGCTGTATTTTTAAAACACAGTTACACTAATATGAAAGTTTTAGAGACTGGTTTTTCATTCAAATTCAGTACATTGCATAAGAAATATTATAGTTCTTTCTCAATTCTGTCAACAAACAGAGAAAGAGAATCATAGCAATAGAGCAAATGGAATTATCAAAGTAGGAGTAATCAAAGAGCATATCAGCCTTTGGACAGGGTAGGTAATGTCACAGAATTATTTCTTAAGGAGGGGGAAAAGGGCCCAATTGTCCTGAGTTCTGTAAAGTTTACTCAAAACAAAACCAAAAAGCAACACCTACGGAATGGTCAGAGACAATGACATAATCTAGAAAACTGGAAGCATTTGATGGCGTGGTGCTTCAATACTGTTATATTCCTTGGCCAAGATGCCTACTTGACAAAATATATTCATTCGACAAATGTTTATAGAGTATTTTCTGTATGCAAGGCACAGTTCAATGTGGGTTGAAAATAGTAATAAAATTATTAGTATTGCCTTGAAAAGAAATTCTGTAGCACATTTTATAAGTACATAAGTAGCCTTTAAAGTGATTGGGTATACTGTCTTATATGGCCGGGGACGTTATATCTTCTTGACCTTCTGACATTCAGATAAATCATGGCAAAGACTGCCCAAATACTTGATAAGAGATTTAATTAAAGAATGTGTAAAGCTTTTGTTTGAAAGAAAGTCCTATTGTTTCATCAATTACTTATCAAATATATGCATAGAGCGAAGCCAATTAGTGAGTTTTATTACTTGTAATTTAAAGGATAACTTTTAAATTATATTAAAATTTAATTTTATTATATAATTATATTATGAGTATATTAAAATAATTAGATGAGCAACTTAATTTTTAAATGCCCCATTACAATTCTTCCCAGAGACAAATGGAAAACTAAAAACATGAATGAATGAAAGAAAGAAAGAAAGAAAGAGAAAGAAAGAAAAAAAGATGAAATAACTTTTAGATATGTCAAGTGTGCTGTTATGATATGTATTTAAATGTTTATATTGAGAAAAGAGGTGATGAGGAATGTGAAACACTGCATGCAGTGTTTCCTAAAAATTGATGAAAGAGCATTTATATCACTCCATATATTCGTAGCACTTAATTTCTAAGTCACCTGTTAGGATCTGATTAAATGCATGCCTACCTTTCCTGATCCCTCCATCAGAAGCACACGTGTAATCACCTGTCGTCAGTAGGAAACATGTTTCCCCTCTTCTGTTTTTGTCTCTGGTACTAGAGCGTCTGATGGGGAGCCTTTCTGGGGGTGATAATGGCGGCTCACTTCCTGTACTGTCGTCACCTGATAACACTGGTCACAGCACCATGCCCATTGACAGACAGTGATGGATGAGGAAATGAGACAGTACAAAGAGTTTACACTGAATGTCCATAGTACAGTCACTCCATATACAAAACACAGTAATCACATCATGATAAGAAAAAGGATTTTCATCACTCATTACAAAAATTTACATGGAAGAAATGGAAATGTATTGAAAAGGAGAGGAATGTTCTTTGGAAAATTTTAATTCCATTTTGGATTCCATATAATAGGAAACTGACTTTCACAGAACTAATATGAATTCAAAATAAGTGTGATAATGAAGTAGCACACACATTAATATCTTAAGTTTTTTGACATGCTTTCTAGTTACTGTGAATAGGAATCTTTAGAAGTGGAGCCTATTTAAGGAAAAACTCCTAGGTACATATTTGTCTTTGAGTTCTTTAAGACATAGGCTTTTAATATTTGCTGAAAGTAATTTCCCCCCAAATATTAACAAAAATAATCCAAAATCTCACTTTATGTCCAGGTTCTCCTTTTTGAACTGAAAACAAATTTTTTTGAACATAACGATGGAATAAAATTAACTTCTCCAAATGCCCTTGAAACAACTGTTTACTTCTATATGCTTGCCAAAGACGTTTGCATCCTATTGGCCTAGATGCTAGCTTGTTATAACAATATTTATCCAGGCTGAGAGTTTCTCCTCTTTTTCCATGTCCTTCATAAGGACTCTGCACAGGTACTCTGAGAACAGTCTGATGAGATCAACATCAACTAAACTTCACAATTCATAGACATTCTTGGCCTAACGGTTTTCAGATATATTGACAGAATCTGCAGAACAGTGTACTAAATGAACAAAAGGATCTTTATGAATAAAATCTTTAAAAAAGCAGTTTAGTTCCAGCCACATTTTCCCCCCATTTACTTTGCAAAAACTTCTGGAAGCTAATGAAGGGACCTATGGAAATGTTACCTGCCTTTTTTGTTTGCTTGCTTGCTCTGTGTGATTGATGTTATTTCTAAATTATGCAAAAGTATTCACATGGGATTATCATAAATTTTTTTTACAAGAAAAAGATTACATGTATGTAAGTTACAGGAATGCACATATCTTAAATTTTCATAGTGGGCTCAAAGCTAACTAAATTGTTTAATCTACAAAATATTTCATCTGGACCACACACAATAAACTAGAGAGGACACTACTGCCTATCACTTCGGCAGAATGAATATCAATTTACAGTCAAGTCCTCTAGATTATCTATAGCAATGGAGAGGAGTAGGGATTCAGCAGTGAATCACCCGAAATTCATTTTGGGGGGGAACAGAGTGTCCAATGTATAGTGCATATAAAAGGAAATCCACAGGGAAATTCACCTGTGCCATTGATTAGAAAAAGCAGATCATCTATCTCCAGAATAATGGTGAGTTTATTATATTACATAGCATCTTACCCAGTCTAAATGGATAATACTGGATATCCTTCCTAAGTTAACAATCATGAGAATGTAATCAACCCTCCCGAATATTACTAGGGACAATGTGTAGTATCAAAATGGCTATCTTCCATATCACCTTTTTTGTGTTCAGGCTTTTGAAATATAAGCATCCATTCTTTTTAAGTAACTGCTTCTTGTGAATTAGGTTGAGATGCATGGCCCCATGTGGCAGAGATAAAACTGAGACAAACACACCGAGCCAAATGATACAGAAATCAACATTTTGAGAATGAAAGATGGAAAATGGCCAATATCATACCATCACATCGTGCAGGGGAACAAAGAAACATTGGCACAAGAGCAACAAACAGGCAAAAGAAAATATTGGCACCATCAGCAGAGGGCATTCCCACTAAAGCAGGAAAACTCTATAGACCAGCTATGCAGGCTTCTACTTGGAACCTACTGAGAAAAGCTACAGTCCACAGTCTAGCTATCTACAAGCCTGATACAAACACATGTTTTGCGAAGGAGTAGAACTGAAAACTCATGAACGTTTACAGAGAATGAAAATGGTTGCCTTCTACCTAAGGGACATACTGGTCTATAAAGTATTTAATGGCATGCATTTGAAATTGTGCCTTACCTGATCTGTTATGTTCCAGATGCCGATTGTCTTTGCCAAGACACGTATCACCCTGTGTGCTATTGCAGGCCATATTTAATTCTGTCTTGCAAAAAGTAGGTGAGCTTGCCTGAGGGGCAGGAGGGATGTGCTTCTTTCTTTTCCTTGGAAGTTTCTGCTTCGCCATTGCCAAGGAGTAGTACATTCCAAAGTTGTTGACAATGACAGGCACTGGCATGGCTATTGTCAGCACTCCAGCCAGAGCACACAAGGCTCCCACCAGCATCCCTGACCATGTTTGGGGGTACATATCCCCATAGCCCAATGTAGTCATGGTCACTACAGCCCACCAGAAGCCAATTGGAATGTTTTTAAACTGCGTGTGCTCACTAGCTGAAGGGTCATTAGGTTGAGCTCCTACTCTCTCGGCATAGTAGATCATAGTAGCAAATATCAAAACTCCTAGAGCCAGGAAGATTATCAGCAGCAAAAATTCATTAGTACTAGCTCGAAGAGTGTGTCCAAGCACCCTCAGACCCACAAAATGGCGGGTGAGCTTGAAGATTCTCAGGATCCTCACAAATCTTACCACCCTGAGGAAGCCAAGTACATCTTTAGCAGCTTTGGATGACAGCCCACTGAGTCCCACCTCTAAGTAGAAGGGTAGGATGGCCACAAAGTCAATGATATTCAAGAGATTTTTGATGAATTCAAGTTTATTAGGGGAAAAAATGATACGGACTAAAAATTCAAAAGTAAACCACACCACACACACTCCTTCTACATACGTCAAGGCAGGATCCGTTTCGATTTCATATTGTAGAACAACACTTGAGCCATTGATGACTGGTTCTGTCTTGTTTTTAACGATATTGAAAGCTTCATGTGTCTCCAGGCAAAAGGTTGTGATTGAAACCAGGATGAAGAATAAAGAAGCAAAAGCAATAAACTGTAGTGGGGAAGGGGGGAGAAATAAAGAAAGAAACAGAGAGTGATCTGAAATATAATATAGTTTGACCCAAATCTAAGAGCATCGATTCCTGCAGATGAAAAAGAATAAAAGCATATTTGGAGATTTTGGAGAATTTGCTTGGGATGTTACTCAAGTGAAAGAAGAGATATGTAGCTATCATTAATTAGAGTTGCACACATAATGTGTTTCAAGTGCTGTTTTCTGTTTATATAGGCAAAAACTTTTCCTTTATGTTGGAAAATGATTTCTTGACTCTTTTGTATAAGAAAATATTCCTGTTACGAAAGTATAAAAATCCAAAACAGTGTTAAAGGGCAACTGGCTGAAAAAAAAAATAAATGTAGAGAGTGGCTCCAGATATTATTTCTAATCCTAGAAATCTTCATGTATTAGATCAAGTTTTACATCTATAAATATAAGGCACGGTTCATACTGATGGGAGTTTGGAAGCCATCCAAATTTAACTGGAGGTTTTTAGCTATAAATAAAATGCTCAAGTTGTCATGAGGTATGGACATGAAAAAAATTTTTTTGAGCTATGTTACAGTGAAATTGTATTAACTTAAGGTGGAGATTTGTTCAAAAGAACAAATCTAGGGAAGAGGAATAGGCAACAAGACTGAAGAGGGAGAAAAGAGTTAAGGAGCAAATTAAAAGACAATTTTCTTTCTCACCTGAAAAAGAACTCCAAGTGTTACAGTATCATGCTATAACATTTCAGGATTTTTCTTATTCAACCTTTTAGTTCATTTCTTCAGTCCTTAAAATGTTAATACATGTATCTACTAATACACAATAATAATAATAAATGTTCTTACTTATATAGTTCCTACTAGTGCCAGACATTCAAAGAAACAAATTATGTAATTAACTCATATCCATACTCATAACAACACTACTACTACCATATTTTACAGTTCCGCAATATTAGCACAGAGTTTAAGCTACTTTTCCAAAACTTAAGATAACAAAGTGACAGACCTAACACACTAACCTGATAAGTTTAGCTCCCAACTGTTTTGTTAACTACCAAACTCTCACACGTTGAATACAAATATGTTGAAACAGCTATATATCTTGGGATCACATACTTCTTAATGTTCAAGCTCTGAAAATCCAACACCCAGTTGTCTGAGTGAATGGTACTGTGGCAGTCAGTACCAGAGGCTTTCAAAGAAGCTGGAGGAGTTCTAGTGCTCTCTGATAATGCCCTCAGACTTAGCATGTGTAATGAGCACCAAGAGAGTGTCCCTTGAATATCCAAACTAATTAATTATGTAGGAACAAGAGGTCATCATTCAAGTGGAGGGTAGCCCTTTCTTGGAAATATTGGGGTATATCCAAATCCCAAAACTGTCCCCTAATATTTATTTTTCACCATACCATTGAAAAGATCCAAGTTTCAAGAAGAGATCGAAACTACCTCTTTTTTTTTTCCTGGTTAAGTTTCAATGTAAGAGATATACAAAAGGACTAAAAAAAAATCTTAGGATGCTATCTGCCTTAAAGAACCACCTCAAATTCTGAAATTGTTTCTATGCAGTGGAACAGTCAGTTGATACATAATTCATATAGAATTATAAAGCATGCCATTTTCATGGTTTTGCCTTATTCCCCTGTGCATATCATCGTTTGCCTTGGTTTTGACATTACGGTTTCACTATCTTTTTCCAGACATAAGGCAAGATACTAACATGTTTTCACTCAGCTTTCCCTTTGCCCAAATAAATGTACAGTTCTTTTTTGAATCCACTACTTGTTGCAACAGTATCACTAAGACCTTCTTGATGCTTTAGAAGATGGTATCTTTCAGAGGGAGAATCAATTATCCTTGATGCATGTGTTACTTCTTAATGTAATCACAATTTTATCTAGAGACTTGAGAGTCATGTTTGTTTCTGATTCCCCCTAAATCTTTTGTCATTAGATCCCTGCTGCTGTGTATATATTGACTCCGACCAAGCCAGTCCCCAGTCACTCCCCACATGCTCCTCCATTCACTATTTCACTCCCCACATGCTCCCCCATCCAATATTTCAGATGAAGTGTCAAAAGTTTTAGTGCACACATACTATCTATGAGACAGGTACCCAATATAAGGCAGTTAAAGCAAACTGCAATTTTATTTTATGCTTCTCGTGTTCCTCAGTCAGCATTTTTTCAGGTAACTTTGCAGTCTCAAACTCTCTCCACATACATTCAGTAGGATTGAGTGGGACTTCCCAGCACTGCTCTCTCAAAATCTGTCCTAGCTTCCCAGCCTACCTCCCAAACAACAAAGACAGTTTTCAAGGGTACTCTGAACAGAACACGGGGACCTTTTATGAGGGAACATTTTCCTACTCTTTATTCATCCATTCAGGTATGAATTAGGTGCCTCTCTGTGCCAGGCCATAGGGCTATGGCTTCAATTTAACAGCAGTTAACAAAACACAATCCCTGTGTTCGAGGAATTTGCAATCTATTTGAGACACGGACATTAAATAATTAACCATGCAAAATTATATAATTACAATTATGATAAATGCAATGAAGTACAGAAAGACTCAAAAACATGGCTTTATTTAGACTGAGGAGTCATAGAAACCTCTGACAAAATATCAATAGACTGAAATTTGAGGGATAAATGAAGGCTAAACTGATGGAAAGGAGAGACCTACACATAACACAGTAGGAAATTTTAACAAAACATCTGGACTTTTTCAATCTTTCAATCTCTCTTTCTCAAGTGATGCCTTTACTGTAACACCACAGGAGCAGGTTTTCCAAATCTGCCTCTTTTGCACAAATTGCGATGATTAAAGCCCAAGTTAGCACAGAGGCCCTGGCTTTATAAACGTTAACCTTTTTTCCTAAAAAGCTTTAAATAAACTAGAAATATTTACCTAGGTTTCGAAATGAGGCTATAAGGAGACTTTAAAGCAGTTTGATTGCTGGTGGTCCTCCTTTGGACTTGCTGGCTTATTGGGAGACCTTTAGAGTTCACTTGTCTTAAATTATTGTAGCAGCCCCAATGTTTGGGATGAAGTAAAAATAAAAGATATATGTTAAAATGGTTTTTAATTTCAAGTACTATGCAAACACTGTAAATCGTAATTGTTTATATTTTAGTATAATTTAAAAATATATAATTATTATCTCAATTAAAAACTACTAGAGCCTGATGTCTATGTTTGTTCAATGAGCTATTATGTTGTCAGAAAAAGGTCAACAGAGTCATAAGGTACTACAGTTGGGGGCTGGAATTTAAGTAACATGAATCACCTTGTTAAATTACCCATTTTAATTATCCACCCACAAAAGATATGAATAGACACTTTTCTAAAGAAGACATTCAGGTGGCTAAGAGACATATGCAAAGATGCTCAACATCACTTATCATCAGGGAACTACAAATCAAAACCATGGTGAGATACTCACCTCACACCTGTCAGAATGGTTAAAATCAACAACACAAGAAACAACATGTGTTGGCAAAGATGTGGAGACAGAGGAACCCTTTTGCACTGCTGGTGGGAATGCAAACTGGTGCGGCCACTCTGGAGAACAGTATGGAGGGTACTCAAAAAAAGTAAAAATAGAACTACCTTATTGTCCAACAATTTCAGTAGTAGGTATTTACCCAAAGGATATGGAAATACTGATTTAGCGGGGAGGGTACATGTTTGTAGCAGCATTATTAACACTAGCCAAACTACAGAGAGAGCCCAAATGTCTATCAACTGATGAATAGATAAATAAGATGTGGTATATATATACAGTGGAATATTACTCACCCATCAAAATGAATGAAATCTTGTCATTTGCAATGACATGGATGGAGCTAGAATGTATTATGCTAAGAGAAATAAGCCAATCAGAGAAAGACAAATACCATATGATTTCACTCATATGTGGAATTTAAGAAACAAAACAGATGAACATATGGGAAGGGGGGGAAGAGAAGAGTGAGAAACAAACCACAAGAGACTCTTAAAGATAGAGAACAAACAGGATTGACGGAGGGAGGTGGGTGGGAAATGGGCTAGATGGGTGATAGGTATTAGAAAGGGCACTTGTTGGGGCATCTGGGTGGCTCAGTTGGTTAAGTGTCCACCTCTTGATTTTGGCTCAGGTCATGATCTAAAGATTTGTAAGACTGAGCACAATGTTGGACTCAGTGCTGACAGTGCAGGGCCTGCTTGGGATTCTCTCTCTCTTTCTCTCTCCCCACTGTCCGCAAAATGAATAAATAAATATTTTATAAAAGGAGGGCACTTGTTATGATGAGCACTAGGTGTTGTATGTAAGTGATGAATCACTGAATTCTACTCCTAAAACCAATATTGCACTGTATATCAACTAACTAAAATAATAATTAATTAATTAATTGATATCTTTCCCACCCATATTCCTAGAAAAGAAGTTTAGTCACATTCATTAGCATATAACTAGGGAGCTTACACAAATATGAATTCCTCACCCAGACATCAGACACAGATTCTCAGGTTTGGAGAGAGGGAATTTGCATTCAACAAGCTTTTGTAGTGATTGCTATGCATATTAAAGTTCGAAAAACACTGTTTCAATGTTTTTTCAACTTGATAATACATTATTAATTATTGACAATTCATTATTAAATGAATTGGAGAAGATTCTAAATTGTAAGCATTTGTAGACTCTTAAAAGAATCTTCCTAAACATTAATAAGAACAGTTCACTGTCTCCTACATTATTGAATGATTGTTCCTGTGTATGTATGCGTGTGTGTGTGTGTGTGTGTGTGTCTTTGTGTGTGAGTTGTGACATAATTCTGGCTTCTACACAAATATTTGTGAGGAAACAAAGGAATTGAACAGCCTCTATATATACACAATTCTAAGACACAAAACTTTGAAAGCCAAAAGTTGTCAGTGTTTTTACAAGTTGCTTGGAACTTTAATTTATCAATATTTTCATTAGCATTATTTAAAGAACTACATAGTGATTTTGTATTT